TGGGCTTTTTTGTTCTTTAGACATTTACACCAGCGGGCGGCGGCAACTGTGAAGAAGAAGAAAGAGGACGAAAGAAAAGAAAGGATTGGGGAGGAAAGAAAAAGATAAAAACCGGTGGGCACGGCTGTCGTGGATCTGAAAAATTAGAATGAAGAAGAAGAAAATCAAAGAAGAAGAAGAATTGTCAAAGAAGAAGAACACTTAGGGGGTGTTTGTTTAGGGGTTTGGATTTTGAGTTGAGATTTTAATAGTAAAAATTTTGAATTTGAATAGTTGTATGATGTGATATAATTATGATGTGATATGAAGAAGAAGAAAATCAAAGAAGAAGAAGAATGAAGAAGAAGAATTGTCAAAGAAGAAGAACACTTGTGTGTTTGTTTAGGGGTTTGGATTTTGAGTTGAGATTTGAATAGTAAAAATTTTGAATTTGAATAGTTGTATGATGTGATATAATTAGGTGTTGATGTGATGTTTTGAATGTAAAATTGATTTTTAGTATAATATAAAAAATAAAAAATATGTGTTTGATTTGATATTTTTTGGGGGGAAAAAATGAGATAAATAGTGAAAATCTAATCCAATCCCCAAAACAAACACACGAAGCAGCAGGACGGCGCTGGCGCTTAGGGCTTTTTAGTTTTGATAATTTTATTTTCAGATATACGTTATTAATTTTAATTTTAAATATATCAATTATTTTAATTAAACTTTTATATATTAATTTTAATTTTAAAAATACATTCATTATTCTAATTTTAATTATTAATTTTAATTTTAAATACACCTATTATTTTGATTTTAATTTTATTTTTAAATACTCATTATTTTAAGAGGGACTTTGATTTAAATCTCTACGAGGTAAATAGCATTTAAGTTCAGTCCCTTCAAGCTATTTTAAGGCACTGCACTCCCTACTTTTGTAAAATATTTACAGATAGCTCCCTACTACACATTTTGCCCCTAAAATGATGTCTATTTGTAACTAATGTATTATGTACTTACGTTGCGTTTATGTAAACCTACATTCTTTATTTACATTCTTCATTTTGCCCCTTGGTTTATTATTTATATACTATAGTTGGTTACAAAAATAACAGAATTTAAAAATACACAATCTCAATCTTTTTTTTGTTCAGAAAATTTTCACCTTCCACTTTTAGGTTGTCGTCTCCAACTTCCATTCTTGAAATCATCACCGCCACTGCATTGAAAATTTTTTGGATCAAAGACCAACCGAGAGGATAAAACAAAGGTGCACAATCTTCTCGAAATGTAGAAAAGAGTTTCTCTCCGAAATGAAGTTTAAGAATTAAGTTAATTTTTTTTGTGTTTGGTATCGATATTTTAGTTATGTACTTTCAAATGCCAACCGAGCTTACTTCGACATTGTAACTCATCATCGTTTCAAATATAGGTTATTTTGATTTGTTTTAAATTGAAAATAACCTTATTGTATATAGAAGTGTCTTCATTATCATACTGTTAGGTTTAGTTTTATAGTAAAACAGTTGCAGTATGAGGTGGGTGGAGTGATAACTAAAATTTGTATGTTGTAATTTGTACAAGTTCACAGGGAATTTATATTCAAAAATCAGTGGGCTAATGTTTATAGAAAAGCGGTCAGATATATTAATATTTGTGGTTGTAGACCCTGAGTAGTTATCACAATTATTTATACTCTTTTTACTGGTGAGTTTCCAAGTCGAACACAAGGATTTTAAGTCATGAATTTCAAAAGGTGAAGATCTTGAAAAAACGACGAAAATTGCAGTAAGGGATCCGCTTTGCAGCGGATCTAAATTTCTAATCTATTAAAAGCGGTAAGTAAAGCGGAAAAAGAGGGTGAGCGGAAGCGAGCGAAGCGAGGGCGTAAAATGAAGTGCCAGCGGTAACTAGGTGATCGAGACATGAGCGGAGCGGAAACCGAGTGAACGGGACATGGATGATTGGCGATTACCGAGTGATCGGGACATGAACGAATGACACAATTGTTTATATGTATATATAAGTAGGTGACAGAGAGTGAAGGAGAGGTGTTGTGTCTGACTTTTGCGTTACCAAATAGATAGATTTCCCTGGATGTAATGAACGAGTGGTGTAAGTGTGTTAACGAAGATAGATGTATATTACGGAAACGGTTACAGGGAGATGATGTAAGTATCTAAACTGAATTGTAAAGAAAACATAACACTGAAATTTGACCTTAAGGGATTTACAACAAGACTTCAATGACACCCAGAATTGGAACATTATAAGAAAGAAACCCTATTGTCACTAGGAATCTCTGTGACCTAATAGACCACCGTCTATGCCCCATTAATTATCCCAACTTCTGCCTCATTAGTGGCTTTACCCTTCTGTTACCTCTTTTTAATCAAAATTGAATTCAGAACAGTAGTTAAGCAGGTCGACAAGGCTCCCGCGTACTTAACTACATTGAACTACCTTGGGACCACTTTTGGCGCAAAACAAGGTTTAGATTAATCAATTCTTCTCGTGCTCTAAACTAGTGAGATGAAGTTCTTTAAATTCAAAGTTTATATAAGTATGGATAAAGTGTGGAAGGAATGAAAATAAAGAACTGAATGATATTTCATTAATTACTACTAAAGTTGAAAAAACTAGAACTACAAAGCTGTAATTGAAAGTAGTAATCTAATCTAAGAAAGCGGTAGAGACTTGGCTAAGGGAGAAGGGAAATCCGTACTCCCTTGGCCATTCTTATGGAGAACTCCCTTACAGAGTTGGAGCTCTCGGAGACAGGAAGACAACTGGACTGCGCGGAAGTAAATGCTAAAATACTTCAAAAAATTGAAGTTATTTACATAGAGATATCTAGCCCTATTTATAGTAGGTGAAATGGGATGGTTGCAAGCAGTTACTGGGCGGTTCCAACCGCTGGGAAGTTAGGCGGTTGCTGGTAGTTATTCTGTTGAAGTAGTTGCTGGCCATAACTCACAGGGCGCCCGCTTCACTTGCGTTGAATTGTAAACACACAGATCTTCCTCGCTTGCCGGGAAGTTGGAGGGCATCAGTGCAGCTTGGCTCACTTGTGCTGGCTGGTATTGAAATGGCTGTACCGCTGCAGTTGGAACACTTAGTTGAAATCTGGTGACATTCTACATTGGCGTCTGAGCTATCGCTTGCAAGCGGGAGAGGCTATCGCTTGTGAGCGGTGGAAGCTACCGCTTGCCTCTCGTGCCTTAGTCTTTTTCAGGGGATGCTTTGGGCGCTTGCGAGCGGAGGTGGCTACCGCTTGTGGTGCATGCCTTAGCTTTTTTGGCATCAGACTACCGCTTAAAAAGGGGCAAAAATCGTTAATAATCTCAACAACGAACTCTGGATCATGCCAAGCGATATAGATCCATAATGTATGCCATTAACGGGTTATTATGGTGGTTTTTATATAGAAATTTGAGTAATACACATTTTTGTTAAGCTAAGAATATGCTCATATTTGGAGTCATCAAACCTCCTCACACTAAACCTTTGTTCATCCTCGAACAAACTGAATTTAAGGATCAAAGAGTTATTCTGTTCACTACAATCAAGAATTGGTAACAATCAGTGCCATGATTGGGAGCAATGTGAACCTCAAATAGAAACAAATGAGCCATAAGTATTCAGCTTGCCATTTGATTTAACACGATTCGAGTTATCCCGGTATCGTCTACTTTGTTTGCTTGGCAGGGAATATTTTTTTGATCAAGGAAACCTTCGGCCGAAGGGTACGGAGAATCATTTTTTTTTGGATCAAGAGTTTCAAACAAACATTGTGTCTGCTCAAGATCTTATTTGATTCTCACGCACCTAGGCCTTTTCAGTTCCTTTTTAATGATAGGTCCTCCCTGCTTCGCTCACATTGTGTCTTAAACAATATTTAAGGATATCTCTTTTCAAGTTATTTCTTATGAACAAATTCGAAAACATAGGTCCGCTTGCCCTACTGAGTATGGAAAAGTTTGAAACGAAGGGGGCACTAATCTTCACAAGTCTTATTCGCTGTTACTTAGTCTAACGCTAATGTTCGAGTTATAGTGAAGTTCGAGGGACAATTACTTGGTCTGATGTGTTTAAGTCATCTAACTCTACTCTAAAACATATCACAGAGTTAAATCAGTAGGATATTACGGGCATTTCAAATATGAAAACATACTTCAGATTATGTTAGGCATACAGTAAAGAAAAATGTCAATTTGTTACCAAAATTGTTATTTCGTTGATCAATGTTATATACAACCCTTGCCATTTCTAAGTTATGTACATGGGGGAGGACCTTCCTTCATTTTCTCTTCTCGCTCGAAGGTCCTCGCCCTTGAGGAAGGTTTGGAGATATTTGCCGCACTAGGTCTTCCATTCTCTGGAGACTTCTAGCTGTGTCAAGCTGTTGTTCCATAAGTATGGCATTTTGTTGGGTGATTGCTGCGAGTGCTTTCAAAATTTCTATCAGCGATGCACCCATGCTTGCAGCTTGAGTCTCCAGCACTTCAACCCGTGCTTCTAGTGCGGCACTCGCCTTCTTGCCAGTGGCCAGTTCCCCAGCCAAATTCCTTTGCATAAGTGTCGATCAATGTCTGGGTCATCAAGTATTGGCTGAGTATGGCTGAGTCGAGTTCCTCCAGTCTTCTCTCAATGTTTTTAGGTGTTGAGCGAGGAGCTGATATACCTGCTCCTTCCGCTGCTGGTGACTGTCTCTCGGACTCAGCCGAACTGATCTCCACTGGCTCTTCTTTCTTTTGGAAATCGGGTACTGGTTCAGGGGTGACCTCCCCGAGCTCTGCCTTCTTTCGCTCTAGGTATCTTCTGAACCACAGCTGGAGTTGGGTCAGCGGCTTCCAATATTTGAGCAACTTGACCAGCACCTTCATCTTCCTCTTCTTCTGTCGCTCGAGCTGCCGCAGTTGTTCGAGGCATTGTATTTCGGCGAATAGCTGAGCTTGTTTCTCTTGGAACTTCTTTTCCTCTTCATCCTCCTCCTCATCGATGATTATTTTATCTTATTTGGCTGAGGCCGGAGTCAGAGTTTCTGCAGGTGTCCTAGTCATGGTTGGTGTTCTTGGGCTGCGTGGGAACACTTGCAGAAGTGGAAGATTTGAAATTACTGCCTCCACCTCTTCGGCTTCATTGGCAGCTTCAGCAGTTGTGGCAGCGGAGACCTCGGTGGGATATTCCTTGTAAGACTCTTCTGTGACGTTGATCCCGCCGATGGTTTCTTCTGTGAGCACAGTCTCCCGCTCCTCCTCTGGTCCAGAAGCAGTAGGCTCTACCACTCCCGACTGGTTAACGGGTTCGGTTTCATTGCCTGTTCCAGCAGCAGTTGGCTCGCCTGCCCCCTGCTGGTCGAAGGGAACAGGTTCATTGCCAAGCGGACTAGGCGGCTCGGGTGACACCTCCTTTGTCGCTGGTCTTAGTGGTGAAGGTCTTTCGGGTTGAGCGGTGGGTTCTCTGATAGCGATCCCCTTCCGTAGTCTGGAAAGAGGGATCGTGTCCTCACTTGCTTCCACATCCACCGCTTTCCCCTTCCCTTTTTCATGCCCTGTCGCTCGCCGATGGGGTGTTGGATTTTTTCGGAGTGCTTCCTTGACCCTCGGCTTCTTGACACGCGCTGGAGCAGGATCTTCCTTTTTCTTTGACATCTTCTCACCAGCGGCCACCTTCGGCGCTTTTCCCCCCTTATCACTCCTGGCCAATTCTGCCCCAAAAAGATCCTCCTCTATCTCCCGAGCGAAGTGGAGGGCTTCCTCCTCCTTATCGACGGGAATTTCATTGGAGATTGTTCTCTTAGAATCAGGTTCGGCAGTGGCCTCTTCTGGGTCCACCTGGGGTGTCACCTCATCTCTTATTATTCCCCCCCCACAACCTTCATCTTCCTTTTTGGTGGAGGGGGCGCTGCTGCTTGAGCCTTCCTCTTTTTCTGCTTGGGGATAAGAGTAAACTCCCTGGACTCCAACCATAATTTGTGAAAGGCCACCGGAAACAACAGCTTCATTTAAAGTTCTGGGGCTGGAGTGGGCAGATCGACGCCCGTGCATCGGCATAGCTCTGTGATTAAGGTCCCGTGACCAAGAGTTCTATCTCAATTTCTTCTATCCCAAATGTCTATGCCGATGATTGCGCCCAAATCCACGTCAGCAGTCTCCTCCAATATCGAGCGCAGGGCAAGGAGAAAGTCAGGGCGAATGTCAGTGGTGTGTGTGGTGATCATTACTCTGCTCAGCGCCCACTTCACTCATTCCTTCTTCTCTTCGTCTACCGACCCAAACTTCAAGTTCCTCTTTTCATATGCAGAGGCGATGGTGAAGGTCCTATAAAGCGTCTGCAGCTCAAGCGAGCTGCAGGTCTCTGTTGCTCTTAGCTTGTCTCGCATCTCCTGGGTGGGATAGTGGTATTCCCAACCTAGGAGTCGGTTGATCTTCCTGGCTGAGCAGTCTACCCATCTTCCTCTGATGTATACGTTCCGTAGACTTTCAGCCTGGTTCAGATTTACAAGAATTCCCTTACCAGCGAAACATCCATTGGATCACTGGGATTCTTGATCAACCATGACAGGCCTTGCTCCTCCAGCCAGTCAGCGAGCGGGCCTGTGATCTTTTTGGGGTCAAATCCTCTCTCGTAGAGGATCCCCATCGCCTTCATCTTTTCGTAGGCCGCTGCTGCCTCAATGTTGACGAAGTGGAGGCCATCGAATTGTTTGGACCTCAACACATCCTTGGCAGCATCTGCTGCGTTCTTCTTGGAGGTGTCGCTCCTGAACGCCTTCATTCTCCTAGGTGGTGCCTCATGGCAGACAAGTTTGTCCTTAAGCTCCTTCAGCTGGTACTCCCTCAGCTCTTCGTAATCCAACCACCAGTCGCTCACCGGATACCTCTGCTCTGTTTCCTCTGTATACTCAAATCTAAGGTAGTCCTCCGGGAACTCTGGGATAAAAATTCTGAAGGGAAGTGACTTCAGCTGCCTAAGCTTCCCCCAGTCTTCGGTTAATTCTAACACCCTTCTCCTCTGATAGTATGCCTCAGGCGGCGCTGGCTCCACCAATTCAGCCCCTGAGGTTGTTGTTACCACTCTTCGACCGTCTGTGGATTTGATCGTTTGGACTCTCTTTTCAATCTTTTCCTCAACCTTCTCGAATTCCTTCCTTAACGCTTCTCGCTTAACTGGATCTATTTTGTCAACCTTTCCTGATCTTAGGGAGTTATTGTTTAATATAAAAAATTTATGAATCCTGCCTAACTATTTTAAAATGAATCCTGCCTTACTATGTATAGGCAATCATTTCAACAATCTCAGTGATTTTAACCCTAGTTCTTCCTCCTCACAATGAAACAGAACACTACTGTGAGTGTTACGTTGTGAAAAAGGGAAAAAATCACAGAAAAATATATAACATACAAATTATTGTAAAATTGATCCGTAGAAAGCAAGTATATCAGTTATTGTATCTAAATCTAGTAAATAATAGACCTAGATTCACATAAATCAAACGTATAAACATTTTTGCAAAAATGAAGAACAGACAGTTAACACAAAAATAATTTGTGATTATGTGTTATTGACCATTTAACCAGAGAAAATCAACCATGAAATCGAGTTTATGGACTAAGTTTAACCTAGATCTTACCTTAGATGAAGTTATTATTGGTTGAATAGTCGAGATTTTGAAAAATTTTGGTGTGGAGAATTGGCGGTTACTAAAGCGTCTTGAGGAAGTTACTGTAGGGCAAAAGTGGAAAATGACTGTTGACTGGGGGGCAAGCCGAGCGCTGCCTAGTCCATTATATTTACTTATAAAGGTATAAAGGTGGGTTTTTCAGGGCGGGTGAGCGGGTAAAGCAACACTTCTATTTACCTAAGGGTGACACTCAAACGGTGGCGGAAGCGGTACTGGGTGAGCGATCCAGCTTTCCCAGTATGTATCAGGGTGAGACAAGCGAAGCGATGGGAGGCTTGGGTTAGACTTAGGTTAGAAGTTAAAATTCTAACATCAAACTATTCCTAAAAACCAATAATCCTAACTATTTAAAGCGATAATACTATTCTAATGAAAATGATAACAAAAGCTGTAAACATAAACTATGAAAACGATAAAAAAAACTGTAAATTCTAACTATGAAAGCGGTAAATTCTAACTAGGAAAGCGATAAAAGAAAGCTATAAAATTGACGGATATAATATTAGGCTTTTGGATTCTTTTTGTAACTCTACCACCGAACGAGCTTCTGAACCTCCACCAGATTAATATTTGCATTGGCCTGCTACAAAATAGGCCATTCGATATAAGGTTTCAGCCTCGCTCCATTGACAAGGAAGGAATCGCTTTCTCTAAGGTTATCCACATTGCTGATCCTTATGGCTCCACTTGGTAGCACTTTTCTGACAATATAAGGCCCAGTCCACCTTGATTTCAATTTCCCTGGGAATAAGTGGAGCCTAGTGTCGTATAAAAGAACCTTGGATCCCTCAACGAATTCTTTCTTCTTCAACTTCCTGTCATAATAGAATTTTATCCTTTCCTTGTAGAGTTTTGCGCTTTCATATGCAAGATATCGGAATTCAGTCAGATCGAGCAATCTTTTGGCGTGCTTCTCCTTCACGGGGAGAAGATCAATACTTAGATACTTGATGGCCCAATACGTGCGATGCTCGAGTTCCAGAGGTAGATGGCAGGCTTTTCCATACACAAGCCGGTATGGGGACATTCCAATTAGAGTTTTGAAGGCTGTTCTATATGTCCACAGCACATCATCCAATTTCTCTGCCTAATTTTTTTGACTTTTATTTACTGTGGTCTGGAGGATATGTTTGATTTCTCAATTCGAAACTTCCACCTGACCGTTCGCTTGTGGATGATAGGGGGTAGTCAGATGCTGACGAACACCATATTGTTGAAGGCAGGATTGCAGCGCCTTATTCACAAAATGGGTGCCTTCATCGCTAATTATCGTTCTTGGAACCCTGAACCTTGGGAATATAGTATATTTCAGGAAGCGGATCACAGATCGAGCATCATTAGTAAGGAGCGCCTGCACTTCAACCCACTTGCTCACGTAGTCCATCGCCACCAGGATGTATAATTTCCCATTTGAATTCGGAAAGGGTCCCATAAAGTCTATCCCCCATACATAAAAAATATCCACAAACAAGACTCCAGTTTGGGGCATCTCATCTCTCTTCGAGATAGATCCCAATCTTTCACATTTGTCGCAAGATTTGGCAAAGGAATCTGCATCTTTCTGTAGGGTAGGCCAAAAAAAGCCTGACTGTAAAACTTTGGCCACTGTGCGCAGGCCAACGAAATGCCCTCCTACATGGGACCCATGACATTCATTTAAGATCAGCGGTATCTTAGATTCTGCTACACAGCGGCGGATTATCCCATCTGAGCCAATATTAAACGAATATGATTCATCCCAAAAATAATCCTTTGCCAAACTGAGCAATCTCTTCTTTTCCCGTTGTACAATATGTGCTGGAAATTGTCCTGTAGTTAGGAAATTGGCCAGGTCAGCAAACCATGGCTCCTTCGCTTGCACCAGGAACAATTTCTCGTTTGGGAATTGTTCGTTGATACCAGGAGATATGTCCTTTTCTTGCCTCAACCTACTGAGGTGATCTGCCACATGATTTTCTTTCCCTTTCTTATCCTTGATCTCAATATCAAATTCTTGGAGCAACAACACCCATCTGATCAACCGGGCCTTCGTCTCCTTCTTCTCCATCAAGTATTTGATAGTTGCATGGTCAGTGTGAACGATGGTCTTGCTTCCGATAAGATACTGTCTGAACTTCTCGAAAGCGAAGACAATAGCTAGCAGCTCCTTCTCGGTTGTAGTGTAATTATTTTGAGCAGAATCCAGCGATTTGCTTGCATAGTAGATAACATTCAACTTGGACTCCACCCTTTGTCCTAATACAGCGCCGACGGCATAGTCGCTTGCATCCGTCATCAACTCGAATGGCTCGCTCCACACTGGTGCCGAAATTATAGGAGCGGAGGTCAACTTCTCCTTCAAGACAAGAAAAGCCTCATCACACTCGCTTGACCAATGAAAATGAGAATCTTTGCATAGGAATGTGGTTAGCGGTTGTGTGATTTGACTGAAGCCCTTGATGAAACGATGGTAGAACCCTGCGTGTCCCATGAAACTTCATACTTTTTTCTCATTCGAGGGCGCTGGCATTTTTTTGATTACACTAACCTTCGATCTATCTACCTCAATACCAGCAGATGAGATCTTATGGCCCAAGACAATTCCTTCATTCACTATGAGATGACACTTCTCCCAGTTCAGCAGGAGATCAATCTCGATGCAGCGGAGCACTTTTTCTAGGTTATTTAGGCATCTGGAAAATGTCTTGCCATAAACCGAGAAGTCATCCATGAATACTTCTATACATGAATCCATGAGGTCACTGAAGATATGGTACATACACCGCTGGAAGGTGGCCGGGGCGTTGCAGAGCCCGAACAACATTCTTCTGTAAGCAAACGTCCCATATGGACAAGTGAATGTGGTTTTCTCACAGTCCTCCGGCTTGATGGGAATTTGGTGGTAGCCTGAGTAGCCATCAAGAAATAGTATTATTCGTGTCCTGCGAGCTTCTCAAGGCATTGATCAAGGAAGGGAAGCGGGAAATGATCTTTCTTCGTGGCTGCTTTCAATCTTCTGTAATCAATGTAGACCCTTCATCCAGTGACAGGTCTTGTCATGAAGACCCCCCTCTCGTCGCTTGTTTGTTCAACAAAGCCTCTTTTCTTGGGAACCACCTGGGTTGGGCTGACCCACTGGCTCTCACTGATAGGGTATATGATTCCTACATCAAACAACTTGATCACCTCTTTCTTTACTACTTCTTGCATATTCTCGTTCAATCGCCGTTGAGGCTGTCTGCATGGCTTGGTGTTAGCTTCCAGTCTAATATGGTGCATGCACACCGCTGGGCTGATTCCTTTGATGTCTGTAATCTTCCATGCAAACGCCGCTTTCCTTATTTTGAGAAGTGAGACGAGCTGAGCCTCTTGGTCCGGCAACAGTGAGGCGGAGATTATCAGCGGGTAACTCTCCTCCGGGCCAAGGAATATGTACTTGAGGTGCTCAGGTAATTTCTTCAGCTTGTCCTTTATGTTGGTGTCGCTTGCTGATTCTCTCGTGGCTCGTTCAATGGACTCAGTGGGTGTTGACATTTCATCGCTTGTCTCACATGAGTCCTCTTCAACTTCCAGCTCAAGCGACCTATTATCTGAAATTACTTCCAGATTTTCAAGTGTTATATAGTTTTCAAAAGTTGATAATTCATTTAACTTATTAATAAAATCACAGTTTTCTTCCTGAGGTTGGCGTAGTGCTTGGTTCATGAAAAATGTGACTTTATCGCCACCGAAGCTCAATGAGATTTCGCTTTGGGCGACATTTATAGTGGCTCGAACGGTGGCTAGAAAAGGTCTCCCTAGAATGATTGGAATTTTGCAATCTTTGCTCATTTCCATAATAACGAAATCTGCAGGGAAAATAAATTTGTTTACTTGCACGAGTACATCACGAATAATTTCTTTAGGAAGTCTTATTTATTTATCGGCAAGCTGAATTACAGTTCTGCATGCTTCTAATTCATAAAGCCCTAATTTAGAGAAAAATGAGAAGGGCATAAGATTGATACTTGCTCCTAAATCACACAATGCCCTAATTGACTCTAAATTTCCTATTGTACAGATAATAATAAAACTCCCAGGATCGCTGAGTTTCTTTGGGAGGTCCTCCTTAAATATGGCGCTGCACACACTCTCCAGCTGCACTGCTGCCGCTTCATCAGGAAATGCCCGCTTGCGATTGGTTATATCTTTAATAAACTTAGCGTAATGTGATATCTGTGACAAAGCATCAACAAACGGTATAGTAATTTGAAGACTACGGAAAGTATGTACAAACTTATCAAATTCCTTGGAATTGTCCTTCTTCCCAAGTCGTGCCGGAAAGGGGGCTCCAGCCAAGGGCTGAGCGGGACCCTTTTCCTTCGGTTCAGGCACCTGAGCAGCTGGTATCGCTCGTGGTTGGGATGGACCCTCTTCCTCAGCTGAAATCTGTATAATTTCATCATGCATAGGCATGCTAGCAACAATAGGGGTAGGAGGAGTATTAATACCTCTGTCTGGCAGCGGTGGTGATTGCGTCCGCTTCCCACCCCTTATTTTGATGGCCATTGCTTGGTTCGGGACAGTCTCGACTGTCCCAGGCAACGTTCCTTTCAGCTTCAGGTTTATAGCTTCAGCTATCTGCCCAACTTGAATTTCCAGCATTTTAATCGAGGCAGATGTGTTTCTTTGGAATTCCTGATTTGCGCGCTCTGTGTTCCTTCAGACTCAGCGGTGCCTGGGCCGCTGTGGGAGGTTAGGAAAATGCAGGTGCCTGCTGTAGAAAGTGGGGGGCTTGAAAATATTGTTGTTGATGTGGATAAAATGCCCCTTGATGATATTGTTGCGCAACGAACTGTTGTGGCCTTTGAAATTGTTGCTGAGGACGCGGTCTAGCGGGGCCTTGAGCCTGCCCCTTATGGAACTGTTGGAATTGAGGGGCATTCCTACCAGCCATATAATAAACCTCCGCTGGGTTCTGAGCCTCTTCAACCGAGCACTCAGCAACCTGCGGACCTTGGTGGTCTATAAAGGCGTTTTCCTCAGCTTCCGCAACCTCATGCAGCGCCTGTTTCCCTTTAGTACGCAGGTTTTGCCTCATGAGCTTAGACAACTCTTTGACTTGGATAGACAGACTGTCTATCCGTGCATCGTGAGAAACGAAAGTAGAAACCTGGTACAGACCCCTCGATGGCTCGGGCCTGTTGGTCTCTGGCCAACTAGTCTGATTGGCCGCCATCTTCTCAATCAAAGCCCTCGCTTCTGAGGCACAACGCCCCATCAACGAGCTTCCTACCACTGCATCAATCGACATCCTTAGTTCAGGAGTGATTCCTGAGTAAAATATTTGAAGCTCCATGAAGTCCGGAATTTCATGATAAGGACAGTTATGGAGCAATTGTTTATATCGGCTCCAGGCTTTGGGAAGGGTCTCGTCATTCGCCATCTTGAAAGTTAGTATTTCATTCCTCTGGCGAATGGTCTTTGATACAAGATGGTATTTGCTCACGAAGGCCTACGCTGCTTCCTTGAAAGAGACAAGAATGGGATAAAGATTATCGAACCATTTCTTGGCTTCTCTTGTTAAAGAAAATGGAAACAGAATAAGTTTTGCAGCGTCCTTCGTGATGCCGTATGATTTGGAGGTGACAACGATCTTGTTGAAGTTCTGAAGATGCTCATACGGGCTTTCATTGAGTAGCCCATGAAATTGGCTCTGGCTCGTCAGGCTAACGAGCGCTGGTTTCACCTCATAATGGCCAAAGCCTCTGGGCACAAAACTAGTAATTAGTGTATTATCCAGAAGGGACTGGTAATGAACGTCCGTGGGGACTTCAACAAGCGGGCATTCAGGAGCCTTGTGTCCCTCAGCCCTCTGGTTAGGCTCAGCAGTAGGTGGTGGGGGAGTGATGGCAGCGGGAGTCGCAGCAGTGTTGGCAACTTGAGCCGCTTGGGAAGCGATAAACTCCCCCTGCGCAGTCTGAGCCTTCTCCACTTAAGCGAGGTGCCCTTGCAGCCCCGCCATTCCCTGCTGGATACTACTGAGGGCTCTCATGAGCTGCTCCTCAG